AAAACAATAACATGAGATATAATAGTTTCATTTCTAATGTGTAATAATCGTGAAAACCTAAGAACTCGATAAAAAGAACAATGATCGTCAAATTGGCAAGACTGTGAATACACGCAGTCATTTGTTTCCAATACCCGTCCAATCGCAAACAACCATTTGTAACAGATATAAATTGGCGGTTGCAGCAAATATGAAACGTTTGGCTGGGTTCCGTGAGCCTCAACCACGAAGCGCGGCCCTATCAATTGCGTACATGTGATTTCACTCAATTTTTGAAACTGACGCGCCCCAACCCTCGAAGGGAGTGCACGCATAATTCAAATTCTAGATTACCCTGCGATTTTGTAGTGCATAATTTAACATGGTTTTAGATACCTATATTAGATATTTTATTAAACTCTAATATCTTGCGTATTTGTTTTGACAATGCGTCTGCAAAGGTTCATTAAGTGTAAAGAAAAACTCAAAATACTCAATGAATACTTTTTTCTTTATGATACCAAGTAATAGGACGCACAAGTTGTGCGCGTGTCCACAGCAGTTGCGTTGCCTCACTCAGAGTTTTACATTGCAAAGATCTGAGGGGGACTGCCACTGCACCTGTCACCCTGAGACATAAGTTGATAAGTCCCATGTGCCTGTAATTTCGCCAGCACCCTTACTCTTCAAAATTGTAACGCAGTAATTGCTCACATTACTGCTTGGCGGCAGAAATAGGTGGCAGTACTTCCCTGCACGAAGTCTTTCAAATGGAACTCTAGTGAATACAAAATAACATTAAATATTTATTTGTTTCTATATTTCTTCAATTTAATTGAACTCGACATGTCGAAAAGACAAAAACTCTGTCTCCAAAGACAGAATCTCTCTCTCTCTCCAAGGAACGGAATTGTATGAATTAAATGTCGAGCTTTATCTCTGTTTTCGCAGCGTGCTCTATACAAAATAGTTCAACAAGGGCGAGAAGCATCGATGCGCCACCGCATTCATTCTATCCCCACAAGTGTGATATATTTTCAATTTTCAACGTTACTATTTCGGTATACTTTGACGTTGTAATAGCATTCGTATTTTAAAAACTTTGTTGATGAAAAACGTCATAGCCATTGACTTACAAATGGTCATAGCTATAAGATTACAATTAATAGAAAAAATATCTGATTTTTATGCTGAGTACTGATGTGTTGAAGACATAATAACGGCATGTGGAGCGTACGTAACATTTTGATGGCTATAAAAGTTGTTTCCGCTAAATGAGGGTAAACCGCTATTACTGTATAGGATACTTCGAATCCTTCGTCTCGATGTTATCGATGGGCTATTTTCTATCACCTAAACACTCTCTTATCGGCGATCCAAACTGCTGCAGAGGGAGCCAAGCAAACACTATGCAGTTTAAAGAACATTTTGTGCTCAATAAAATCATCCTATGTATACTTTAAAGCGAAAATTTACAGTAATACCATGAAATGACTATAGATTTAGTTTTGGAAAGCGATAAAACGTGTGAAGGGTCAAAACGGGTGCCGATACATCATAAAATTATATGAAAGTCAAGAGCAGGGAAAGTGAGAGGTGAACAGGGCACACCAGAATTTATTGCGGTCTGCTTTCGATACCTATTGTAGAAAACTCGCTTTACGCCTTTAAAAAATAATTTTATGAAAATAACTTTGCTTATCGAGGGGTCCGAACGGCCGGTCATGTCCGCGAATGGGCAGGACGCGATGATATATCTGTTTAGACCTAAATGTATAACGAAATCGGAAATTTTAAAAGTTCGCGTACCTCCGCATGATTTACGCTAGCTCGTATAATGTTCACTGGGAAAGGGGCTTTGGCGGAGTCGTTCAGTTAGAAATTTCTGGTGTGACGCGAAGGAAAATCTGCGCGCTTCTTACAGCGTCATTTAGAGTCAGTACCCGTGAAATTTGTCGCCGTGGAAGCTCCTGCATTATGTACTGCGGATGAATCTTGCTCGCGTCTGATGGCAGCTAGAGCAAGGTGCACAAAAAATGAAGTAGAAGTTTCATACAAAGAAGATGTAAAGGAATTTGATATGAATTAAATGGTATTGAATACTTATTTTCTACAAATTTATTCCAATATATTTTCTCGACTTCATTGAAATTCTGACAATTAATAATATTTTATTATTTTGCCAAGTCAGTGGAAAGCATCCTTCCATAACATACACCACAGCTCATATTCGTGTTCTAAAGTTTATTTGCAAGAAACAAGTAACCTGTGGGGATCTGTTGCGTCCTGGCGCGCGTCCAGGGAACGTGTCGAATCAGTTCAAGTGGGTCTTTAGATAATGGGCTCGGGAGCGCCAAGATATTTATTGTACTGAACGTACTTTTAGCACGTAAAATAAACAATGTTGAAAGAGAGAATGAAAGAAAATATTTTTGGTCTCATTATTTTTTAACCGCCTTTAAAAAAGGTGGAGGTTCTAAATTCGACTGTATGTTTTTGTATGTATGTTACACGATAATTCTATAATAATAATTTTAGAACCGGTTTTGATGATTCTTTTTTGTTGGAAAGATGGTACCTCAGTACTGGTTTCATTTAAATTTGAAAAAAATATTCCACCTCTAAGTGTGACAAACTGGGGATGTATGACTTTTGAAGTCGGTTTTTAGTACTCTGTACTGACATTATTTAAGAAGTATAACTTAAATTTTAATAACTACACTTTGAGACCTAAAATTGTTTCCATCAAGCTTTTTTTGAGTTGTACATGTAAAACAACTGACGCTGGTGTCTCCGTCAATCAACATCGAAACATGACTTAAATAAGGTACCCAACTCAAATATAAAATAAAATTTTCAGTACATAACAATAAAATACTGTACAATAAATGATAAAATTATGATCTAATATATAAGTAAAATTAAAAATATAATTTTAATACACACATTAACTATTTATTATCTGTTATGTGCATATTTAATGTTAGCATGTATATAATTGCACTACTTAAGTTTTTAGTTCGTATAAAGGGGTGTTTACTGCATTGGTTATTATTTGTTACATGTCTGCCGTACACTAACTAAAACGGCTAAGTGACAAATAGCAAAAAATAGAGCACAAAATCTCTTTTACACAGACAGATAGATAAACACTTTATTCACTGATATAGCACAAATACAGATTAAGCATAAAAGAAACAACAAAACATGATTGTCATAGCAGTGAAACGGCGCTGACTCAGCATATGCCAAAGTTTCCTAAGGCGCTGGTTTTCAGTCAGAACCAACGAGAAGAAGAAGAAGAAGAAGAACCACAGTTAAAATTAGTTACCGTGTTCGACTTATCGGAACTTACATAACAATTTCAATATTCTAAAACTGGGTTATGGTTTTATATATATAGATATCTCATAAAATTATTTTGTCACTTAGCCGCGTTAGCAGACGGCAGATGTGTGTCTCTGCCTATATTTAATCAAAATATTTTAAATTTACGTTTCAATGTACCAATCGTGTCGCGCAGTTTCAAATCAAAGGGGGTATATTGTTCAGTACATTTCGTGCAGAATAACGAAAATTACCACGAAATCCTGTTCTACGGCGTTGGTTTTTCATAATTTTTTTATCTTGGATTATACCTTATTTGCGAAGTGAGAGTAGTGAGCCAGTGGAAGTAACACCATAAGAGGATGTCATCATAGTATTCATGTGTACAATGCATATATTTGATATGGTATCCATAATTGACGTGAGTGTGGGGATAAAAAAAGAACTAGCTACTGGCATCTTAATCCTAATCTAGAAACAGTATACGTTTAACGATTTAAAATGGGGCTTTTAAGCTGTCAAGACCGCGGGCTTTTCCGTTTTTGTAAGTCAAAAACAATAACCTAGCTCACTGCTAGTGATAGATGCCGTTTATTTATTTATTTATTTTAACAATATTTTTTTGTGCGCATGTTACGCGATAGTTCCGACATATGTGAACTGATTTTTTTGCAGGAAAGGTATAAATTTGAAAGTGGCAAATTAGAGGATGAATCCGGTTTATTGAATTTCACGCACTTTCTGTTGAGGCGCGTTCTCATTATGTCGTGACGACATATAGGCGTACAGTTTAAAGTGCCTTGTATATTTAAATGAAGTTGTTCACACGTAGAACAACACAATTGACTGTTGTTCAGGACATTTTTAACGTTACGATGAAAGAATGTCGTGAGAATGGGAAGAGCAACGACAGTCGTCTGACGATAAATAAAACGTCACGATAAAAATGTGACGACAGATAATCGCAGCTTCAAACGATTCTGTCGTGCCAACGACAAGGCGGCTACCGTGAACCGATAAGTTGTCATCACGATCTAGTGGGAATCTAGACACGACGTCGTTCAACGATAAAATAAACGTCCAAGACACAGTCACGACAGATAGTCGTGATATGGGACCAGGCTAGACGCGACAGTCGTCCAACGACAAATAAATCGTTGGGGACGTGCCCTTAACCGATAGCAATACAACTTGGTACATAGATGTAATTATTGGAATAAAATCAAATAGCAAACTTTTAAGGAGGGCTTTTCTTAATAAAAATTGTTACAATTATTTATTTAGAAACATAACAGAATTTACATTTATATCACTGTACAGTGACATAAAAACAGTATATATAGCATTTGATAGTTATAAAGTAATCGAAAGTAGCTGATAATTTAGTTCTACGGTAAGATATAATGATTGTTATTCAGTTCTACCTGCCCTGACAGATCGACAAGCCACGAGTGATTTCGAAATGCCTGTTCAAAATTGTGCAGACTCATGGGGTTGTGGACATTTACTTTGTTTATTTAGATTTATATGTCTATTTGCCCAAAGGTATATCAAGTTCTTTTTTTTATGTCGTACTTCCAATAGTACATAGATTCAGGATACATTCATTTTTAGAAGATAAAGAGTATGAATGAATAGTGTCCAGAGATCGATCTAAGCCACCGAATTGTTAAAAAGAAGACTGCAATACTTACGTAGAGGACCCAGTCCTTAGGGCTATGCGCATTGGTGCCACAGACGTATAGCCGGTTGCCATCACCCATAGGCTGAATCACGCGGATGTGGTTTCGGCAATCGAAGTGCTGCAAAAAATAGAACAATGAGTTAAGAGCTGTTACATATGGCAAACTTTTAGCAGCGATGCAAACTCGATGCAGTAGCAATGTAGTCGTTAATCGTCTACCTTTACACACACGCGCGACTTTAAGCAACGATGCAAACTCGCGATTGCGTGGCTACACTTGAGATTTATATCGATGTTTGTATCGATGCAGTCACGCGTTTGCATCGATGCATTTATTCGTTTCACGAACGCGCGTTTGCATCGCTGCTGAAAATCGCCGGGTGTAACCACTCTAACACGTGAGAATTAATGTGGCCTAGATTCTTAATTAAAATTAATTGAATTTGCATTGATATTACAATACTGACTTTATTTTACTGTGAGTTTTATCTCTCGTTTGTTTTTCGGCAGATTGATTTTTTTTTATTGCACGCGCGCCTCTTATTTTGCTAAAGCTTTATTTTCGTTGTCATTGTCAACCTATTATACATCTCACTGCTGGGCACGGATCACCTCTAAGGAGATGGTTGAGACCGTAGTCCACCACGCTAGCATAATGCGGCTCGGGGACTTCACACGTTTTTCTGCAGTTGTGAACTTTCATCGATGTGCATGCAGGTTTCGTCAAGATGTTTTCGTTCACCGTTAGCAAGAGGTATGGCTACTTAACATTCACAAATGTACCAACGGGAATTAGAAATTAAAGACAAAACGAGTAAAGTAAATCTTATCCACTTTGCTACTATCGCTGTACTTTAGAGTATTTTATTTCCTTTGTGGTTTTATAGGAACAGCCAAACATTTAAAAAAAATGGACTTGATATAAGTATCTTCTTTCGTAGATTTCTCACAAATGACACTACGGTAAATAAACAAAGATCTGCAACAAGCACATAGAAAAATTCGAAGTTTTGCTCGTTCGTTCCGTAGCTTGATTGGAAGAGCGTCAGGTGCGGTATACTGAAGTAGCTGGTTTGAATCCAGCCTGATCGAAGGCTACAATTATAAGAGACAAGTGGAATAATTTAATTCCTGTATACCAATAAGGGAATGAAATGAATGAATTATTGTCCGCATTTAACAAAATAGTCACCATATATAATATTATGGCAACTTTTGGTATAGTTTTGGTTCTTGGTGTTTCAATAGCCGATAACACATACTGATGTAGTGATTGACGCTTTGAAGGCCTTGTTGTTCAATAAAATAAAGCCAGATTTAATGCATCCGAGCAAATATTCGTTGAAGCGAAAATTAAAATACTCTGCATTGTGCATATTCGCGTCCTCGGGCAAAATTCATTGGAATAATAGTTATTCGAAAGTACGCGTGTGTGTTCATTCGTTCACAGGCCGTGATTATGCAAATTTGTGTCCGACATAAATTATGAAAGAGGACATTAATATTCTGAACGACAGAAATATGCATTGCTCGCTTTAGTGGATAAGCCCGTTCATTGAATGGTGCCAGTTCATTTCAGTCAATTAACGCTTTTTTTTCACTTAGATTTCGTGTGCTTTTTGACGTGAATATTCTGGTAACTATGTATATATACAGTGTTATATATCACTAACATTATAAATGACAAAGTTCTTGTACCAAAAATAAAAATTTAAGTTTTTACTGTACTATCTGACACTTGGTCGTTAAGGTAGTAAGTTCAAACGCTTTCCCGTCGACTCCCACCGCCGCTCCTCAATTTTGCATCGGACTGGTATTTACGCCAGTGCTTTCTTTTGTTGCCGCACAGACTCATTACCGTTTAGCGCGATTTATTTAAAAATTATTTTGTACGAAAGTAAAATCCGATGAATGATTAAAAGTCATGGAACAAATAAAGGAGGTTGTTAGTATTTTACAAACAAATGTTATAATTACCACATGTAATAATTTTTTTCTTCTTCATGGTCTATAATTACATTTTCTTGTCGACTGTACCACAGTACCTGTACCTACTAAGGATAAACCTGTAAGTACCAGCGAATCAGCGGGAACAAAATATTAATAATATTTATTATTGATCATCTGCGTGGGGGATCCGATTGGAATAGAAAATAATATAAAATAAAACGAATCCACCAGAGGATCGGTTTTAAGGGATCAGAAGTGAATAACTCAACATTTGTATGCCACTTTCATATCGTAGGTTGAATACTAAACCTATATACGAATATTGTAATCAAACAAGGAATTATTTTCTTTGCAATACTATTATTCAGTTGTAAACAGAAATAAATTAAACCTAAATAACGCTGCAGTTTGCGTTTAAATGTTCCATTGTCTTTCGAAAGGTGGTTATGAAATCATTGAAAAATAATAAGATAAAAATGTCATTACTTGGCTTCCAATATCATACAAAACACAAACAAATACAGTCAGGAAATTAATGTAATAACAGAAATAAATAATGAATAAAATTAATAATGAATGTTCTATGTGCTTTTATGTTATACTCTGTGAAGTGATTGTAAATGTTTTGTTTCTGTTTGTATTTGTGCTGAATAAACGTGTTATCTATCTATCTATCTATCTATCTAAATAATAAATCAAACGGGATAGAAGCAGGTCAAAAAGGTTTATAACTTTTCATTCGAGGGTAAGTCGAATATACAGCCCTCTTTAAAACTATATTCCAGTTCAATTGTTATATTGAATCGCATAAAGTTTAGTGAAGCTGGCGACTGTGATGTGGTAACTGTGGTTGGACGGGAGATTGAAACTAATTTTGCTCATGTCACGGCAAGAGCTTGGCTCACCACTGTTTGGACCAGACGGAATGGGGAATTAAAATTGAGATACAGTTCCGGAATTTACGTTTGTTGAGAAATATCTTTGCTTTGTGCTCATTGTCACATAAGAATTGTAATGTAACAATAAATACAAACAACAAATAGGTCGTTAGTGTAAGGTAATGTGACAATAATAGGTCCCAGGTGCTGGACACAGGCTTCTTCTCATAATGAGAGGTTTGGGCTGTCCCAGTCTGTCTGGGCGGGCCCAGGGCCGATTAAGAAGTTTATTTACATCACTAAATTGATTTGCTTATATGTGCAGGTTTCTTCATAAATAGGTTTTTTTCTATAATATCTAGTGACGACCAAGTCGTAAGCTTGGAGTTAAGTTACACGCCTGTCTATAACAGTTGCAGTGCCACTCAGAGCTTCCATCGCAAAGATATGAGGGGCACCGTCACTGCGCCCGTCACTTCGAGACATAAGTTGACAAGTCCCATGTGCCTGTACTCTCACCAGCACCCTTATCCTTCGAAACTGGAATGCAGTAATGCTGACATTACTGCTTGGCGGCAGAAATAGGTAAGGTGGCAATACTTACCTCGACGAACTGATTCGAATTAAATTGAGAACATAAATTCCAAAAAATACAAAGGTGCAAGGCCAGATTCGAACCCACGGTTCTCTGATTGAAAGGCGGTAGGGCAAACTATTACGCTACCGCGGCTATTACTACTATATTATAAAAAAATATTATTATGTAATTTATCAATATCAATTGCAAAATTACGTTATAATTCACTTTTACGCGGTGATAAATTAATGATTTTCCTTTAATACTACGAAAGCTCAGGCATACTGTTCATAGGTAGGAACTAGGGTATTCAGTCTCGCTGCATTTCCGCGTCCCGTGAAAAAAATATTGAGACTCGGTGCGGTCTCGAAAATCCCGGAAAAAACGAAATTTTCGAGACTGTTTTAAAAGTAGGTTAGCATTCTTATAGACTAGGCATTTAGATAGTCAAAACATGATATTTTAATTAAGTTCTTTATTAACACAAGTTATAAAATGAAAAATTATTTTTAATTTTTTTTTAAAAGTGGTATTAAAAAATAAAGCGCGTTTAGTACAGTTTCAGATAGAGTACCTTATTTTTTTAATATCGTTCTTCTATCTCCACAAATTATACTAAGCTGCACTCTACTGTGTTGCCACGTCCATGTAGCTAGGATAAGAAGAAAGTGATGGTTTAGTAGATTTTTAATACTTTTAAATTAAATTACTTAAATTTTAAAAGTCTCGATATTGTCTCGAAAATTCTAAAAAAGTTTAATTTTATATTAAGTAAAATTTTATTCCCGGCATAAAAGTCCTAGTAGGAACTGAACTTGATATAGGGGTAATCCTAGTGATGTTATCATGTATCAGTGTCTAGAACACTAAAATGAATATGATAATATTCTGCCGAACTGAATTTCATGAAATATTCTATTATAAAAATATTTTTTACGCACATAATTTGCGAGTGTAGTGCAAAAATACGTACATACCATGTAACTTAGCTGTTTATGATACGTAAATGAGCTCGTTCGAGAAGTCCGCACATCAAAAGTAAATAGTGTTTAAAGTCCAACTTCAATATTGGAAATCAACAGGGACCGACTTCCTTACATTATTGGTTGCCGAAGTTAACGTAAACTTGGTCAGTTATTCCTAAATTATGCTTCGGACTGATTCAATAAAGACCTTTGAGACTTCTTAATGCAAACCTTGTTAAGTTGCTGATTTATATTTGTCTTCCTGATGAAGCCTACGTTTCGGATTGACATATAGTTGGGGATAGTAATTAATATAGTTTTTGAATGAACACATTTTTCCAATTTACTTTAAAAAAATGTGAACTTGCAAGTTGTACCTTAGGTTGCGTTCCCATTATGTCGTAACGGTTTATTTACGGTCGCGACTAGCCTGTTCCCATATCACGACTATCTGTCGCAACCATGTCGTGGACGTTTATTTTATGCTTGAACGACTGCTGTTTTCACTAGATTGTGAAGGAAATTTATCGGTTCACGGAAGCCGCTTTGTCGTTTGCACGACAAAATCGTTTGAAACTACGATTATCTGTCGTCACATTTTTGTCGTGACGTTTTATATATCGTCAGACGATTGTGTCGTTCTAGCTCTTCCTGTTGTCTCGACAGCCTGTCGTCGTGACGTCAAAAAAGTTGTGAACGACAGTTAATCGTGTTGTACTATATGTGAACAACTTCATTTAAATATACAAGCCCCGACATAATAAGAACGCGCCCTTAAAAGTAGATGTTACATAAATATTTCATATTTTCGTATTAATTCATAGTTTTATTTTAAGAACATTTTTCTAATAATTTTATGCTATAATTATTAATACAAAGATCGAACATTAAGAAAAATTCCTACAATCTGGCTTGATTCGAACAAATGCTTTCAAGCATACCGTGCCAGACACTCTCCCAACTGGACTACGGAACGAACCACCACACTTTATGAATTTATCTACGTGCTTGTTGATGAACTTTGTTTTTGGTTTTTAACGACTTGTTTGCCGTAGCGCCATCTGTATGAAATCTATAGAAATAGTATAGTAGTAATATATTCTTTCAATATTTTTTTGTGAAATTACAATATGTTCGAAGGATAATGGTATTAATAATTATTAATACCATTATCCTTCGAACATATTGTAACAAACCAGTGGAGTAATTTCACAAAAAAATAATAAGATTGATTTTTGCCTTATGAGATTATTTGCTGTCATCGAGTATAACCAGAAATAGAAATGAAATAAGGGTCATCTATCCCTGGCAACTCATCAGGTAAATGGATCTTATATCACTTTTAAATATCAACTTTCGTTTGCGCTGAAATCACAAATTAGAAAACTGAAATAGTACAGCGCCAACAACTGACCTGTGTGTACGTCTCCGTATATTCCAAAAATATTCTGTATTTATTGTAATAAAGATAATATATAACAATGGGGTCTGTTTGGTGGTGGGGAAAAACAGCAAAACATCTTATTACAAAACAAACGAAATCATATTCCATCGGTAATTAAATATGGAAAATGTAATTTTGCAATTTTCGGCCATCATAGCAAAGCTGAAGTTAAACTGGTCGATTTCAAGTGAAACAATTGACGACACCCGTCAATTGTTTCTTTTGCGAGCAGTTGTCACCGTAATGATTTGGCAGAATAGTTTTCAAAGAAATTAAATGACATTTCGTCTCTATCTGGTTATATACTCGATGTTTGCTGTAGATGACATAATGACCCGTGTTAACAAACAGCTTAATACAACAAGAAGTATTTCCACGTCTCTTGTATTAATGGGCTATAATCATTGATATTTTAGACGGTATCGATATCTGCAACCACGACCCCGGGGTCTTGGAGTTATTCGGACTCAATAACTATTGGTTACGTGCTGAGTGACGTTTAGGAAATTTTGAGTTATCAAAATAGAGAGTTATCTTAATGAGTAATTTTTGGTCTTAACAGATAATTATTAATAAAGACAGTTGATTTGAGTAACCTCTAAATGTCGATTTTGAACATGAGAAGAATTGATTAATACGAGTTTAAATAATATAGAAATACTTGAAACCTCTCATTGCATTCCGAAAGTATGAAAAGTGTACTGAAATTGAAATGGTTTCAGGTGAAGTAATCAGAAGATGACGAAGGTGAAATAAACAATTAAACAAAGTGCACTGTTGGCTCATAAAAAGTTTGCGCCTTCTTCAGTACCGGAGGAAGTTTCCTCGAGATTGTTCTAAAGTAATTATCGGATTAATATACTCGGAACGTAGTCGTACGTATACTGACGTGAACAGCAAACTGTGAACACGAACTGTTGTGCGCTCAGAAACATTCGGAATTAAGCAGGAGAACAATCAGGCGCACGTCTAAGTTTCTTTTAACGGCACTTAGTCCGAAGCGCGCCATAACTCCAATGCGAACTAATGCCTTCGATTGGTCCATTTCGTTAATTATTCGCCACTTTGTACGTAAGTAGATTTACGGCCAGCTTTTCTCGACTTTCTCACGAAAAGGTTTTTTTTCAAGAAATGCGCTTATTTTTCTACGAGTATAATGGCTTTTATTGGAATTTTAAGGGCATCGATTTGCAATGCCAATGTAGATTTTTATTGCGCTTTTATTTCTCTTCCGGAGTACGTTCTAGTAATAAATTAATACAGAAAGATATAATTAGAATTTCAAGTTACACTCTTGAGAGAAAAAGACGATACTGCGCTAACAAAGAAAAGATTTGTTAGGTTTAACGTTAATAATGTCTTGGAACACTGGTTATGGAGTGTAAAAGAACAATGGGGCAACTTTTGTTATTACAAGCATGTAGGTAGGGTTCGAGATTGTCGCCTATGCATAATTTATGCATAAATCTTAAGTCTCAAGTCATCTGATTTAGCTTGCTAGTGAATTTTCCCTAATAGCGTCACGACGAGCAGAAAACTTAAAACAACGAGTGTCGGCGGACCGGCGGCGGCGGTGCCTCACGGAATTTCGCCGACGGCATTTTTCCAGCCTTTTTCGTGTTACGACATCGTGTTTAGAGAAAGGAAAACTCGCCGACAGCGAGAAACTTTGATTATAGCCTTCACGAGTGGCCGTTCTTTCCACGATCGAGGTGATAGACTCGGGGATATTTCTTTTTTATGGCCCTCTTTGATACTAATAAAACAAATTTACTTTTTTCTCTATTGGAAGAGTTGGAGTGGGTAGCATGTGGTCTATAGCTTTTCTTTCGTCGCTATTGCAGAAGTTTGACCTTTTATTTTGTGGGTTATGTGCTACCACAATATTCAGTGTTTTGGAGTAAACTTATGAATTTGCTTGCACAAGTTTTTACCTTTTGTGTGTGTATTTTCTAGATGCGCATACAGGTTTTTACTGCTTACTTTGTGACTTTATGTACATTTGACATGAGACGTTCCATTTCTGGTTGTGCTCTTTATGACTTTCTTATTAGATCTCCAACCCACAGGGAGTCAACAAAGAGATATATTGCGGCGTGTATTCTACTTAACTTTGATAGCCGCGAAAACGCATAAGTCATGAGATGAGCTAAACAAAGGCGAAACTCACGAAAAATCGATGACAAAAGTGTTAGCGAACGAAAATAGAGGAAAGCACTCAAGCGTGCGAATCGCTCGCACAGTGGGCATTATCGAATTAGTCGATCGAAGCAAAGCTACTCGCAATAATCGTCGTTTGCCGATCTCGAGACAGGGTGTAATGTAACCGCCGAGAAATAAAACAAATATTGCTTTTACGCTGCGATTGTAAATCAAAATTAACGGCCTTAATATAGCAGAGCAGAGCGTGGCTCTAAGCTCCCCGCTATGAAATATGCTCGCCTCCCGCCGCTCACTGTTAAAAATGGGATTAACCCTTGACGGAAATAGTGCTAGTTGTGTGAGTAATTTTCCAAGTAATAAAGAAAGTTTGATTAAAATGTTTTAAAATGAAACAGTGTTTATTCAGTAGCTTAAAATTACCTCCGATTTTCCTTTGGACACGCATTGCGCGACGTTGCTGGGCTCCAAATTTATGGCATCTCTCTGGGAACAAAACAATTTTACGTTTTATTAAAGTACATGCCAGCTTAAAATTTCACGTCCTTGTGGAAGACATAATTTTTATTACATCCTCGGATTTTGCCTTTAATGAGATATTTTGTCAGATAAAGTTGGTTTTCATATCTTTAAAAAAAAAATAAAAGAGTCGTATCAAATTTTATTGCATTGCAGCGTTTGTTTTGTTACTTACTGTAGTAGTAATATTATGAGGTTGAAACAAAATACAATAGAGAAAAAAAAAATATTTAAATAACTTACGTCGCAATGTGATGCGCTAATATTATTCATGTTCAGTCGATATAATCGGTCCCTGTGAACAAAAAAGCATATATTTCACAAAAGTTAAATTATTTTGGCGGAGACCCGTATCCAACAGCACACTAAAATTTAAATTACTGTTTATGTTAAAAACTTCTGCCGAACTAAAATGGATTAGGGCCAGTCACAAGGATGCATAGAAAAACGGACCAGGATCGTCACACTATGGAAAGCCTGGAGTCTGTTGACGTCGAGAAAATCTTAATATCTACCCTAAAGACTGGCAGGATGCAGCAGACCGACAAAGGTGGAAGCTACATAAGGAGATATAAATAAATAAATATAAGCCAACATCACATACATTGCTCTGATCACAAAGTAAATAACTAAAGCACTTGTGTTATGGAAATCGGAACAACGACCCGAGACAATATAGAAAAGTTAGTTTTTTGCATTGACTGACTGATGACGACACCATGAAAACCGGTATGCAAACCACTAAACCCCGGAGGTCGTCAAAGGAGATATACATGTCTTATATAAACTATCGTGGACTGTTCGTAAAGGAAAGTTACATTGTATCGAAATTCCAATAAGGTTATATGGTGATCGCTTTACAATGCAAAATGAGCTTTTTATTGATATTGCGAGTGTGGTGTCGCCTGTCACGTACTCGTAATCAACTTTTCTTAGAACCACCCCGTGGTAAATATGTATTGTTATGGCAGCTATTATCATTATCACAGTTATTACCCGTAACTATATACCATTGGAATTTAAAAAAAGTCAAGTGTAAGTAAACCTCATATCAAATTTATCAAGACGGATAATTACATTATTATTGTTATTATTGAGTGAGTGACAAGTAAAGTCAATAAGTACATGTACATGACATATAAAGTAATTCGTGTGTCGTCTCGTGATTGACTCATAAATATTTGCATTTTCTGAACAAAAGCAACGCTGTTGAAAATTGGATTACTGAATAAAGAAGTTACTATAAAAATAATTATATTAACACTATTAACATAATTTTTCTTGTCTCTTTTCCTTAAAACAGCAATTGAAATAAGTAAAGTACTTACATGGCTCCGACATAGAGTGCGTCTCTCTTGGAGTCCACGAAGAAAGTTCTGTAGTAGAGAGTGCCACAAGAGAATTCCCGGACATGATCTGCAATGAAAAACATAAAAATTAGCATAATAATCATGAAAAAAAAAAGTACTTTATTTGTAATAAATATATTGTATAAACACATTGTTTTTAAAAACAAAATATAACCTATGTTATATGTATATTACCTATTATGTTACTGAGCAGAAATGTATTTCTGCTTCAAAAGTATGATTCAGTAAACATGTATGTTTACTGAATCATACTTTTGAATGATAACTAAATTTTGCTGTCACGAAAATTTCTTTAATAAACATATCCATTTAAGATCGCACAAAAAATTCTGGGAATAAACCTGTATAATATGAAAGACGTGTTCCATTAGAGTAAATATTTTTCTAAACACGAGTGACATCAAAGGATCATGAAGGTCGCATACGCGAAGATACGTTTGAGTCATTCGAGTCAAGTTTTTGTGACTACATCAAAGGGCACTGAAGGAACAAGCAGATGACATCGGGACCCGAAAAGATTAGAATGTTTCGAATATGTCGAATTGCTATTGCAAGTTTGAAGATAAACTTAAGTTGAAGAAAATAATAACACCGACTATTACAGACATTCCAATTATTAGTTTATGTATCCGCGTGTTCTTTAAAATAGAGCATGGCTCCAAGATATCCAACAAAAAAACAGACTATATACAAAGGAAACTTCGGGAAGCGTATAAAATAACGATGAATGATTGATGAACGGGATACTGCAAATGCCCTGAAGGAATTGTTTTAAGATTGTCGCAAGTTGACCCTCTCGTTGACGCAGTAAATAGGCTGTATTTTCTAATTCATGTCTTCTTTCTTTATTTATTGTTAATATTTTAGAACAGGACACGTTTGGGTCGCGTGCGTCGGTGAAGTGCGGGAGAACAGGGGCGCGGGACGTGGAATGCGGGATCGAGTCACGCACTGAACCCGATGTTTACTTTTACGACATCCGACAATTGTACGCTAGGCTATAAATTGTTAGTAAAACGTGATTGCTGATTTCTGTAAAGTTTTTTGACAAATTTTTGATAATTCAAACACTTGTTTCGTAACCACGAACCATTTCAATTACTTTCTATAGAAAGTATACAAACCAGAGTTTTGACTTTTCAGCTGTTTTTCAGTCATGTTTACATTTCAGTATTTTCGACGCACCACTAAAATTTAACCGAGTGTAAACGTTTTCAGAAAGCACCCCACATCTTCACGCGGAAGGCTTTTCAAACTTCTCTTCCATGTCATTGTCAACTTGTCTACCTACGTTTTTAATACATTTTTCACAAAGCCGGGCATCACTGTCTACTGTCTTCTCTCTAGGCAGGCTTAGACGCAGACATCGAAAGGGGATGGTATTTGAATTAAAACGGTACTTATTTTTGAAAATGCGCGACCAAGCATGAATTTTTGAAAGGAAATATCTTGACTATGAGATCAGTTTTATTTTTAAAAACATATTTTTACTCCAGTAGACAAATGCCTTATTTTCTATGCTAGTTTTGATGCGGAGAACTCCGCAGGGGAAACGTTGTGTTCTTGAATTTCACTTTACATGTCATCGCGTGTACTTGAGCACTACATTATCAGTACCTCTTTTGAATATGCATTATGCATACGGCTATTGGAAAGAGATAAGGGATGACACTTTAGCGGAAATAAGTGAAGCTCCATGTATATTGAATTTCAAGCACCGTCATAAGTAGTAAGTTCTTGAACTTACTTTAAATTGCAATGCAATGTGAAAAGGAATTGACAATTTATAATGTTTAAATTTTCATTCGGATTCAATCTCCTATTTTCTCCTTAAATTTTGTCTGAGTCATGAAGTCTCAAATGGTTTTTGAATCGTAAACAACAACAAAGTGTGAGTGGACAATGTTGTGCCGCAAATGAAGTTAGAATAGAGAATGCAGACGTTGGGGAATCGGGCAGGTGCGAGGTTTAGGAATCAGCATTACAGGCAGACGCCTTTGGGACTGCAACGTTGTATCGACTTTGCATATGCTGTTAGTCATGTTCAGTTTATGTGGCTAGTTTTATTTGAGTCCGCGACATTAACTAAACTTGGAATCGAATCACGTGGGACTTCCAAAGTAGGAATTTGGAGTTTCACAATGCCATACATCTGATGTTTCTTTTTTGGAATAATATAACATAAAAAGAAAACAGTGGATGTTACAACTAACTTATATTAAGTTTATTGAAAATTTTGAAATTATTTCACTAGTTTGTTATAATTTTTTAGTTTGTTATTAATACACAGATCGAGTATTAAGAAAAATTCCTTCGATCCTGTTAGATTTGAACCAGCGACCTCGCCACACCGTGGCTGACGCTCTGCCAACTGAGTTACGAAACGAACCAGCGGACCTTAAGAATTTATCTGTGTGTGCAACAAGCTGCAGATCTTTGTTTTTTGGAAAACCAAAAGTACGGCTAAAAAAACGACTTTTTTTGCCGTACTGCCTATTGCGATAAATCTATGAAAATAACTATTTAGATGTTAAACCTAATTTGAATCTAGAATTTTTTTATGATACCAAGTGATGGGACGACCTAGTCGTGCGCCTGGTGGTAAGTGACACGCCTGTCCATAACAATTACAGTGCCACTCAGAACTTTAAATCACAAAGATCTGAGGGCACTGCCACTGCGCCCGTCTCCTGAGACATAAACTGACAAGTCCTATGTGATCATGCTAATTTCATTAGCAATCTTACCCTTCAAAACCGGAACGCAGTAATGATCATATTACTGCATGGCGGCAGAAATAGGTGAGGTGACAGTACTTCCCTGAACTCTCTGTCGCTCTTTTTCTCGCTCTTTCACAAGGAGCTCTATTGCTAATTTGAAGTACAGTATTTCATACGAAAGGCTTTTTAAAAGCAAATGCCTTAAACTTCATACAATCTTAGAAATTGAAAAATTTGAGCTATTTTAAGAGTAATTTATTTGCCTATGAAATAAATATATTTTTGATTTGATATAAGCAATATTTAAAAAGAATAGTACAAAGTCTTCTCTAACGGTAAATATTATGTACCCATATAAATATAATGTACCCATAATATTTACCGTTAGAGAAGACCTTGTACTACTGAATATGAATATGTTAATATTCAGTATTTTATAAACTTAAAACACATTTCTGGCTATTTTATTGAGCCAGACAAGATCATGGCCATAAAAGCCTTGTAATTTTCATATGAATACTGTCTAGTATGCAAGCTTCCATTACATTTAGACCCAATAAATGTTAATGCTCAAGTGATCGCTCGGAGTCGAATATTCCAAGGGAATCGTGCAATGCCCTCCTCACGTTATTGAAATGCCTGACTATAAATTTTCTTGGAATACCTTTCCTGAAATACCTGCCATAATGCTGGTTTTGAAAATGTTTTACATTTCACAGTCGCCAATTATATTACAAATAATTTAAAAGCGAATTCCAGTAAAATCTCAAAAAGAAAGTTAGGTTGTCCGTAAGTACGTTCACCCAAATATAAAGGAATGCTACGTGGCGGCGTCCTATATATGTGGCAGTCGGCGTGAATATTTTCACCGGCTGAGGGGTTCGACACTATGAAATACATATTTCAGCGGTGCGGCGTGGTTGTCGCGTCATCTTTCACAGCGACTCTTGTCAGAATCGTATATTCAGTGGTGCCTGCATTTTTCATTATTCAATCTCCTGTGTAGTTCACAACTTTGTGAATTTGTTGGGTGTACAACAGGGTAACATTTTACCCATAGTTTAAAAAAATCTATAGTGCGCGTATGTAATGGACATGAATAGCTTTATATACACAGTTATAATACTTCTCATTTGAATCCTTTTGTTAAAGCTGGATTAATTTAAAGGCAATGTTCTATTCAATTCAAGAAAGGTTTCTCACTGAACTATTTTAAAGTAGTAGTGAGGCGGTGAATATGACTCACTTAATTAAAACTGCAGTCCAAGTTGAGAAGAATATGCAGATTAGAATGGGTAATTATAGAAGAAGTTGTACGTGCTTCTGGGGTAATAAGTAAAAGTATAATTAGTGGGCCGAGCTGTATCAAGATCAATGCGCACGCGATCTGTTTAGCGGCGACACGACAACGCGCCCACTACATCTGATAATAGGCTATTGTTTTTAATTTTACTGTTTCTTTATTGTTTAAGTCCATTTAGTCTACTTTTTATCGTTTAGTCTACTTTTACAAATAGAGCAGAGACTTTTTCAACATCTGTTTAATGCTCTGGACTAATTATTATTATCCTTTTGTAGATATGAAATTATCATTGAACGTCTGTATTTACCATTTTTCTTAGTGAATCGAATTATATTTTCATTACTTGGTATGTATAAATATTCTCTGCAGAAAATAAACGGATTTTTATGTTTAGGCTTGTTACCTATTCTGTTCGAAATTCCAAAACTTTTGCTTTTTCATATTATGATTACACGAATAACAAACTTAACTTCATTGGGGTAATTGTTTTATCGCATGAGCACCGTTACATTGGTCAGGTAAGGGGTGGGCTGAGGGCAATAGTAGGGGGTGAGAGCAGACCCTCACAGCTGGAGTTCAGAGGAAGAAAGTTATAATAAACCAATGCACGTTCCAAGATCCTATCACGCTAAATTATTTTGGTCAAGGATAACTTAACCAAACAACGTTTTGCTGTTATGAATATTATAATTTGTACACCTACCCTTATTCGAAGATTTTATTGGGTCACTAATATTGTAATGAAATGATGTTTTCTGGAACGAGACCAAATACAAAAACATTGTTCCTTGGAAACCTTTGATATTTTATGAATGAGTCTTAAGAAATTCATCACAATTTTGTTACGTCTGTAGCTACTTTCTGGAAAGCTTTGCAATCAATCAGGTCGACGACGATTCAATCGACAATAGCTCATACATCAATCGCATGAAATTCGTGACAATACGTAATAGGGCTGTGCGACGTTTCGTAGGCAAAGCGCCATCGTTTCATTTGATGGATTACACGGCGATTACGGGCAAC